AAGTAAAGCTAAATGAGCTAGTCATAATGGCACCTGACCACAGTTCTAGAATTTGGGAGGTAGAGGTAGGAGGTTTAGGATTTGGGGTGACATAGTGACTTTGAGACCATCATGAACTACATGAGGCTGAAAATAATCACTAAATATAAAAGTTTTTTAATCTTCAGAGTATATAATATAAAAGGGAAAGATTTTTTAATGGAAAAGAAAATTGAGGCTGGAAGAATGGCCTAACTTTCAAACCAATCTGTGTTCTACCACAGGATCGGTGGGAATATCCAACCTACAGAGGAAAAGATTTTTCTAGAGTTGACCTCTGTGGACCTTTGGATTTAAATGGCTCTGTGAGTGGGTGTCCCACATAGTAAAAAGTGACCCAGATGTACATCTTTCACCAACATTTCCAGTAAAAAGAGAACTAACAAAACTTCAAGTGAAAAAGGCTTGTCATCAATGAAGAAAAATAATGAATCTATTTTAAAGTCAGCATCAGTGATACCGATTGTTGAAGGGGCAAAGCTTCCCATTTCTGGCAGTAAATTCTTGCTGTCTCAATTGTCAGACAAAGTACCCATTTTTGAGAAGGTAGAAAAAAAATACCTTTTTTTTTTCTTTTCAGAGACACAAAGGCTTAGAATGCTTTCTTAGCTTGAAGCTTTCCCCGTTTCCCTGGAACATTTTCTTAGCAAGTAATTTATGGTCATTTTCCAGCAAAGAGACAGCAGGGCATTTAGGAACAAATGAATCGTGAGCAGCCATGCTACTGACCCTCTGGACAGAGCCCATAAGTGGAGCAGAGGCAAATCTCCAGGAGGGACAGCAAGTCTGGTCAAAAATACTAGACCCAAGAAGGACGTGGCAGTATGAAAAAGAAAAAAAAGAACTCGAGGGAAACACAAAAATCTGTACATGACAGTCATGGACCATATATGAAGAAAACAAACTGTAATATGTGATTCTTACAGCTTCAAAGTTTTGATAGATTAACAAAAATTCATACTTAACTTGACGTTTATACTAGGAATGTACTCCCGGTATATCCAGCTCCTGTAGATCATAATCTTCAGCCAGTCAGAAAAATAGGATTCTAGCAGATAAAATACCCAAAATTGAACAATATTACATTGTAATAGGGATGTAAATCACTTTACTGGGGATTAAATTATTAAAGTCTACTTATAAAAATATCACAGAATAACAGGTGATAAATAGGGAGCTTTAATTAGGCAAAAATAAAAATATAGCTGACGGACAAATAGACCCAAAAGACTGAGAGAATGTGGGTAAAGACAAGAGCTACTAAACTGTGCATCTCATATGGTAGAGGCAAAAGGGATGCTGTCCATGCTCAGTGGACTATCACATAGAGATTATCTTCTTACGGTTACAGAGCTTCTCAGATGACTTCAAAACACTTCTTCATCCGTCATTAAGAGGTCAGTAGTGTTTTATTTAGGATTTTACTTCTGTGAAGAGACACCATGACTTTGGCAACTCTAATAAAGGAAAATCATTTAATTGGGGCTGGCTTACAGTTCAGAGGGCCAGTCCATCATCATGGTGGGAAGCATGGCAGCGTGCAGGCAGATGTGGTGCTGAAGGAGGAGCTCAGAGTTCTATATTTGGATCTGCAAGCAACAGGAAGAGAGAGCCTCTGGGCCTGGATTGAGCTTTCAGACATCAAAGCCCACCCCTACTGACACGCTTGTCCCAATAAAGCCACACGTATGCAAACAAGGCCACACCTCCTAATAATGCTACTCCCTATGAGTCTATGGAGGTTGTTTTTATTCAAACCACCACAGTGAGGTAATAAAACAAGCTCAACCTTAAACAAGCCTTGTGGTGAGAACAATAGTATTTATACTATTGAGTATAAATAGTAAGTCAAGAACAAATATGTGGACTTGTCCTCCATCATTGGTGAGCATCATCAGCATAACACAAGCCAGAAACTGCTGGGAGTGGCTGTTTGATGTGGTTACCCAAAGATGCAGGTAAGTAACAGATAAGATAAAAACAAAAGGCTAAAGCATCCATTCATTATTATACATTGGGAAAGAAGTAAATACTACAAAGATACATAGGGATGTGTAACTGAAAACCACACACACACACACACACAGAGACACACACAGACATACACGCACACACGCACACATACACGTATGTGCACACACCTTTGCTCATACTATCTACTTACTCTTGTTTTCTGCTTCCTGGTAATTTTTGTTTGGATTGACCCTTGGCATGGTGCTAAAAATAAATACTCAAAGAGTTCTAATAGAGAGTTTCTTGTTGATGGTGAGCTAGGATAAGGGAAGTGAGGAGGCCTGCTGGGAGACAAGAAAAACATGTTGAACCTGAGAAGAGGGCCGGGTTGTAGGGCACAGCTGTCTTCAGTAGCTGGGGCTTTGCAGAAGGATCGACCACAACCAGGCAGAAGGAAGCTGGAGCAGAAGAGACCTCATTTCTCATCCTCCTTCATGGACTTCATTCCTTCCAGGGATAGATGGAGAAGGCAGGGAATCTGGAAGGGACAAGACAGTCTCCAGCACATCTTCCGGACCCATGCACACACAACTCTGTCATCTCTCAGCAGCTGTGACTGCTGTGAACTCCTAGTTTCTATTTCCAGCTGAGTGCCTGGAGTCTGCTTTATCACAGCCAGTTTCCTGGGGCCGCCATCAACTGCAGTGGACGCAGTCGACTTCAAACCAATGCCATCAGGTCTATTCCACATGCAAATGCATGCACATGAAACAGTAACCATCGTAGCAATGTGACTGGGTTGTCTCGGGGCTTAAATGGTAACAGTGCCACCTCCAGAGAGCCTTCTGCCATCCAGATGTGGCGACATGGCTCTGTGATATGCACCGCTACTCTGCACCTGGACCTGATGCATTCTAGATGAGGGAGTCCAACAGAAGGGATGAGTGAGTGAGGATACCCAGGGAATGAATACATGGGAGGAGCCTGGGGCGGGGCTAGGGGAATTCCTTTCACCCAGCAATGACTTCTGAGACTGCAGACCTCGGCTCCTGGATACCATTCCTCCCACATCTCTGAGAAAAGCAAGAAAAATTAACACTGTTTTTAAGAACTGGCCCTCTCCCCTCCTTCTTCGTGTTTCCAAGAAGACTCTTACAGCAGCTTTTATACTCAGCTGAAATGTTCCTGCCAGGGAAACAAGGCAAAGGTTACACACAAGGTCACTGTTGTCTTATGGCTTACACCTGCCTCAAATGTAAGCAAATGTACTTAACATTTTTAGTAAGAACACATTTTAATTTTTTTTTCTCCAAAGGTAGATCTCAGTAAAGATGCGTAGAAGGCCAACTTTGAGAAATGATGGATGTGTTTACGGCCTTGGTGGTAGTGATGGTGTCCAGGTACACACTTGTTCCTGGCACTACTGAGATGTAAACACATACACCTGTTCCCCTTTGCCTTTCACACCTTGAGAAGGTGGTGTTGTTTTTTAAGTTAAGACTGAGGTTATAGACTTCGGGTCTGGTTAATTTTGCTGTGTGATTTTTTTTTTATAATAAAGTTAACTTTTGAAAAAAAGTATCTCCACTTTTAACTCAGCAGATAAAAATATCTGAACAAAGGATAGTATATAATCTCCTTTTTAGAGTAAATAAATATTAAAGCGACAGTATAAAAAACGAATTAATCATCTCTTTCTTCATCAAGGAGCCGGGAAGTACCACCTGGTCAGTCTGGCGCTGTCCTAGGTGCTGGGGACACACAGACTAAAGCAGGCCAGAGCCCTGCCTGCTTGAAGCCAGCATTCCAAAGCAGGTGGTTTGCTCAAGACCCCATTCCATTGATTTTTATAAAAATCCATTCAAATTACATTGTTGGCAGAGGCTGCTTATTCATTTCTTGGCCACCCAAAGCCGAAATAATTACACAGAAACTGTATTATTACAACATTGCTTGGCATATTAGCTCACACTTCTTTTTGGCTATCTCTTATATCTTAAATTAACCCACTTCTATTAATCTCTGTATTGCCACATGGTTGTAGCCTACCAGTAAAGTTCCATCCAGCATTCGGCATATGCCTCCTGTGGAGGCTACATGGCTTCTCCATGACTTCACCTACTCTATATATCTTTTCCAGCCTGGCTGGCTATATTCTGTTAAGTTATTGGCCAAAAGCATTTTTTTTAATTAACCAATGGTATTCATAGCATACAGAGGGGAATCCCACATCATTACAAAAGTGGTAATTCCAAAGTACCTACAGGGCAGAGCTTCCAAGTGCCCAGAGGATAGCTAGCTGCTTAGGTTTCCTGGGCTGTTTGACAAGACTCAACCTTTGTAAATATCAGCCTTTGTCCTAAGTCAGAAATAAAGGAATCATTCTTCTCTATGTTTTCCTGTCCCTGGAAACGCGAGGAATTGATCCCAACACTCCCTTACAGACTACCATCTCTGGATTCTAAACTCCTTTATAGAGGATAGGGATCTGTTTGCATACAACCCTAGAACTCCTCTTCAGATTGTGTATGACATGCTGTGATGAAGGCAGTATGCAAATCATATTGCTTAGGGAAGAGTGGCAAGGAGGAGTCTACATATGTTCAGTTCAGACTCCGCTGGGGCTTTCTGAGTATTTCCTGAGTTGGCTGGCTAAATGCATAGATGTGAAACCCTCACATGTTAAACCACCAGTACCTGTAAACTTTAGACCATGCTCTACTCCGCCAGGTTTCCAATAACTGATTCTTTCTCTCCCCCTTCTTGCTCTAGGCTGTAGTGTCCTACTAGGGAGCTGGGCAAACACATGGCTCCCAGCGAGACAGGACAAGAATGCAAACCCCAGCTAGCCACTCCAAAGGAAGATTTCTCCCAACGACTCAAGAGCACTAGAGATCCTTCGGCATCAAATGAAAAGATGCAGCCAGCAAACAGAAAATGAAAACCACCCAAGCGCTGGAGGGTGCCCTTGCAGCCACTTCCGTCCAGGTGCCGAGTTTCTCGTCAGGATGGCCTGTAACAGCACACTCCTTGGGACATACGAACATCGGCTGCTGAATGGGAGCGAAGATTCGGACCCCGGGGCCACACCACTGTCCACACCGCTCAGGATCTCGTTGGCAATAACGATGTTGCTAATGATCGTGGTAGGATTCCTCGGCAACACGGTGGTCTGCATCATCGTGTATCAGAGGCCGGCCATGCGTTCAGCCATCAACCTGCTGCTGGCCACCTTGGCCTTCTCTGACATCATGCTGTCCTTGTGCTGCATGCCTTTCACCGCCATCACCCTCATCACTGTCCGCTGGCACTTCGGGGACCACTTTTGTAGGCTCTCAGCTACACTCTATTGGTTTTTTGTCCTAGAGGGCGTGGCCATCCTGCTCATCATTAGCGTAGACCGCTTTCTCATCATCGTGCAGCGACAGGACAAGCTGAACCCACGCAGGGCCAAGGTGATCATCGCAGCCTCCTGGGTGCTGTCTTTCTGCATCTCTGCGCCCTCCTTCGTCGGCTGGACGTTCATGGAGGTGCCGGCTCGGGCCCCACAGTGTGTTCTGGGCTACACCGAGTTCCCAGCCGAACGCGCCTACGTGGTGATGCTGGTGATAGCCGTGTTCTTCGCGCCCTTCGGCGTCATGTTGTGCTCCTATCTGTGCATCCTCAACACGGTGCGGAAGAATGCCGTCCGCGTGCACAACCAGTCAGACAGCCTGGACCTCAAACAGTTGTCCAAGGATGGCCGGAGAAAGATCCGGCGGCAGCAGCAGCAGGTCAGCCTGGACCTGAGCTTCAAAACCAAGGCCTTCACCACCATCCTCATCCTCTTCGTGGGCTTTTCGCTGTGCTGGCTGCCCCACTCCGTCTATAGCCTGCTGTCTGCGTTCAGTCGGCGGTTCTATTACAGCGCCTCCTTCTACACCACCAGCACGTGCGTCCTGTGGCTCAGTTACCTCAAGTCGGTCTTCAACCCCATCGTCTACTGCTGGAGGATCAAGAAATTCCGGGAGGCCTGCATAGAGTTACTTCCCCAAACTTTCCAGATCCTCCCTAAAGTGCCTGAGCGGATCCAGAGGAGAATCCAGCCGAGCACCGTCTATGTGTGCAACGAAAACCAATCCACCGTCTAGGGAGCAGGTCAGAGCGGGCCGACGGACAGCTCTGAATGGTCCCGGCCCGGACTCTGCTCTCTAGCTTTTAGTTGTCTGCGTTTTGTGGTGACCACATAAGCACAAAGGCACTCATTCGTTACCAGGTGATCTGTGGCTTTCACTTTTCCGATCTCCATAAGACGAATTATTATTTTTCTCTCTCAGAAAAAAAAAAAAACATAATGGGAATTGGGGTTTGCAGGAGCTGGCCCAGAAAGTGAGAGGGGATGAGGGGAAGGGGGAAAGTGAAGTTGGCTGAGGGTGGGGCAAGAGGAGGGTCTATAGACAGAGCACATCCCTTGCATCCCAGCCCCCACTCCACATGCTCAGGAAGAGCCCCTGGTGGCAGTTTGTGGTGCCCTTGTTCACGCTGACACTTGTAGCTACAGGGCCTGGGTGTGGCCCAGAGGTCTCCACAACGTTCAACTGTGTGTTTCTGATCATGACAAATTATCCTTTCTGGAAAGAACTGGAAATCACATTGGGAATGTTCTTGAGGTCGCCAGTGTGACAGGGTAGGGGTGGGACGGGGGTGGGGAGGTGACAGAAATGTACTTGGTGATAGCAAGGCTGAAATGAGAAGTCCACCTGGACACTTGGGTGTGTGTCCACCCCTCCCACATCTGGCGAGCGCGACTGTCTCCTCTGTCCCTGTCCATTCTCCGTCCACTGGTTTTTATCCTTTCCAGTGTGCTAAGAACACACCTAGTGTTACTTGTTCGTTGGGCAAGTATCCGTAGTGACTTGCTCTCCGAAGCAGAAGCAGCCAGTGGCTTAGCTTTGTTTACACATCTCTGGAAGACCCAGATCCTTGTGTGGCACCAAATCCACATCAGCACCAGAGTTGCTACAGGGACAGAACAGACACCCCCTCCTCAAAGCTGGGCTTACACCCGTCCATCTCTGATCCTCCTACCTCACTCACGCCCACTGCTGCTGTCAAATCCTCTTGCCCAGGACCCGATCCTGGGAGGGAAGCTCCTTAGAGGAGACATTTGGCTTGGCCACTATGCTCGTGGCCACCTATACGACCGAGAGCTTCTGGTGTAGGCAGGTGAGTTCTGCATGCCCAGGACACAGCAGTGGGTCTATTGAGCTCTCTTTACAAAGTCAGATGTGAAGAGAGGGAGAAATTAAGGAAATATGAGTCCAGGTCTGACTCTATCAGGGACCAGTCAGTAATCTTGTTCATTTCATGTTCTGTCAGCTTCAGTTTACCCATTTGTTAAAGGAGAAAGCAAGTCTACATGACTTCAGTCTCCTTGATTCTACACCTGCTCGTAGCCAAAAGACCCGGAAGAGATAAGCCCCCTTGATTCTAAACGAGGTGATTTTTTTTTTTTTTTTTGCCTGAAATTGCCAGATCCCTTACATTCATTTATCCATCTGTAAGATGGGCATCTGTCAAGTACATGCCTAGTGGATGGAATGTAGTGGAGGGAATGCATTGTGCAAGAGACGGTGCCCAAAAGAAGGCTGAAATGCACCCACAGCTAGTAGTCCAAGAGCACAGAAGTTCCAGCTGGCTTTGTTTCTTATTTCTTTCCAAGTTATGCTCAGAGACCAGCCCCCGACTCTCCTACCCTCTTCCTGCGGCAGTGGTGATGGAGGCAGTGGAGGGAGGTGGGGTGTGAAGAAACCATAACTTATGTCAACCTCAGCCCAAGGGAGGGTCTGTCACGAGAACGGCTGACCAGTTTTCATCAGTCAGGAGGGAAAGAGAGAGAAGGCGGGACTGGTATGTAGCTTATTTAGGCAGGTGCCATCAATCCTATGCCTCTCCCAGTGATCCGCAAGGCTAGGGTTGGTCTCGGCTTCCACGGGTCAAGTTCACAGGGCCCAGTGGTGCCCAAGAGAATTGCCAGACTACGGTGAGGGGCAAGCCTATGGGCACCTCCTCTCCAGTGGTATTTTAGAGAAATTTTATTCAGGAACCTTGAACAAAGAGAAATCACAAAACTGAGTGAAGGTACCAAAATTTACATCCATGTGTGTTATATGATATATGTTGGGTAGTAATATATATGTTTCAAAGTAATAATTTTGTATATATTTTAAATAAAGTATTATGGCTCTTTCAGTGTATAAAGTCATGTTTTTGCCAAAACTTTTGTTTTGTACCAAAGCTACTATTACAAACCTGGAATCTTGTGCCCAGTACCTATTTATCAGGCTGTTCATGGCACATCTTAAACCATGTTAATTACAAACCACAAAATACAGGTTTGATGGTTCTTTTTTTTTTTTTTTTTTTGATTTTCGAGACAGGGTTTCTCTGTAGCTTTTGGTTCCTGTCCTAGAACTAGCTCTTGTAGACCAGGCTGGCCTCGAACTCACAGAGATCCACCTGCCTCTGCCTCCCGAGTGCTGGGATTAAAGGCGTGTGCCACCACCCGGCCAGGTTTGATGGTTCTAAAAGCTGGGAAGTCTAAGACCAAGGAACCAGCAGGTTTAGAGTCTGGAAAGGACCACTCTCTTGAGTCACAGAAGCTGCCTTGGTGCTATGTTATCACACGCAGAAGCAGAAGGGGAAGTTCCTTATGTGTGTGTGGAGGGGTGTACATACATGTACATGAGCATGTGTGTTCACTTGTGTGTGTGTGTATGTGTGTGTGTGCGCACACACACACAGGAAGGCCAGAGGTTGACATCAGCTGTCTTTCTCTATTGTTCTCTATATTTAAAAACATAGAATAAAGATGCTAATTCTACTTAGGAAAGTGGAGTGAGCCCTCATGACCGAATCACCTCCCCACGGCTCCATCTCCTCACACCATCACACTGGTGTGAGGCTGCAACCTCAGAGTTTGGGAAAAACACTTTAAAGCTGCAGCAACTCCAAAATCACAGTGACCTCCCTGCAGCAGACAGCCGGTGAGTCACCAGCAAGTTTGACAAGATGGAAGTGGATGGGGCAAGTGCTGCTTTGTTTCAGAATCATTCCTCTATTTCTCATTCTCTTTGGCCCACAGTTTAGCCAGGTCCTGGGATTTCTGGGCTCTGTGATGTCAGAACAGCTCCATACGTGTATGTATGTATGTATGTATGTATGTATGTATATATATATATACACATATATATATATATTTTCTGTCAAGGCCTGAGGAAGAGAAAGAAACCTCTCGGCCACAGAAATAAATAATTCCCATCCCATGAAGATGCCTGGAGCTTTAGACATGAGACACAGCGTCATATCCTCAAAGGGTCCGGGAACCAATTCCCTACAGATAGCTGCATTTAGAGATGCTCTGTCTCTTATATAAAGTGCTATAATATTTAGAGAACCAGTGCACACACTTCTGGGTACTTTGAAGCACTCGTAGACGATTTTAAACTAAATGATGCACACAGCGTACAAGTACACAACATATCACACTTCTTTCTTCAAAAGAATGACAGGGGAAATCTGTTCGTATTTAGCACAAAGAATTTTTTTTTCAATTATTTTCCAACCCTGAGTGGTTGACTCCGTGCATGTATAACCAAAGGATATTGTTGTAGTTATAATGGATTCCAAAAAACTATCACTTTTTTTTCATTGTTTTTGCATTTATTTGTGTCTATGTGGTAGAAAAGTGGGGCACGGCGTGTGTGTATAAGTTAGAAGGTAATTTGTGGTAGTAAGGTGTCTCTCCTTCTGCTATGTGGGTCCAGGGAGTTGAAGCTGAGCTGTCAGGCTCGGTGACCAGCACCTGTACTCACCGAGCTGTCTTGTCAGTCCTCATCATTTCGTCTTCAACCTAGGTCTCCACTGTTGGAGTAGAATAAAAGCAAAGGTTCCGGGCTGAAGCAATGGCTCAGCTAGTAAGAGTACTTACTGCTCTTGCAGGGTAGTACCCAGTTTTGGTTCCCAGCATCCACGTGATGACAGACAGGCGTCCTTCACTCCAATGCCAGGGCTTCCTGTGCCTTCATCTGGCCTCTTGTAGGCGTCAGGCACACACATCACCATACATACATATGTGCATGCAAGAAACTCACACACGTCAATAGAGGTAAATAAATCTTTAAGAGGAAAAAACAGCAAAGTCCCAAGAATGTTGGGAGCATTAAAAGGAGTCATGGAAATCGAGGTCAATTTCTCCTATTTCCGGACACGAGGTACTGAGTTCAGGACTGAGCACAGTTTGGACAGAGTACACACAGCTGCTCACTCCCCGCTTCATTCTGAGTATAACGGAGCACCCTGAACTCAGGCCCCTCATCTGGGAAATAAAGAGAGTTGTCCCAGACACAAAGCCTTGCTGAAGAGCAAGCAAAGGATGAGGTGTAGCTGGTAGGAGTGTGATTGTCTAGCAACCTCAAGGTTCTGGCTTCCACCCCAGCCCCATCAACATAAACAAACAAGTAGACATTACATATCTATCGGATAGAGCCCAAAGAAGGCCTGGTCCATGGTAGGCACTGGGATTTGGAGACTGTAATTGTCTCGGAGGGACTGGGCACCTGCTTCTTCCTATCAGTTTGTCCTTTTTATGGGCTAAGGTGGAACATGGTTAGAGAGACAGGCAGATGAATTTTTCTGAACTCAAATAGAACCGAAAGGACTTGCCAATTAGAATAGCATTTGGCTTGATTCGGTTTGGTGCTGTCTACCTGGAGGTGACATCAAATTCCACAGGTTAGGGGCTCAGTCCCTCAGACTAGACAACCCCCCCCCCATTTCAGATAACAGCCCAAAGAGTAGCAGAAGTGCATGGTGGCCTATAAGCCAGAACTCCCAAAATGCCCTACTAGGTGTGACTAATTTGGTACAGCTGCTCACAGAACCCAGGGAGCCATTTTGCCTCCACTTAGCCTGTTTTCACAGAGGAAACTGCAAAGGGTACAGCTGGGTAGGTAGGTGGAGGTAATGAGTGGGATGAGGCCTGAAGGGAGGAGCACTCTGCCTTCCCCACCCTCTCAACGGAATGACCGTCCAGCAAAGCCACTAGGCAGCTCCCGGAAGTCCATCTGCACCTATCCTCTTTGGAGACTGG